CATAGCTAATATACAAATAAAAACGTTACAGTCTCAAATACCTTTTCTTTAGATGATTATTATAAAAAAAAATCGTGAAAGTAATGAATCGTAAAATACATAACATCCGTTTGTAAATAGACGAGGCAATGAATTAAGGAAAATTGGAAAAAAGATGGAAAAGAGTCAATACAATTCCAAGAGTTTAATATTCCCTTTCCAAGCATTCCTGATTTCTAATTTGCAATTCATTAAAGATTTTTTTTAATCTTGTTTCAATTGCAAGTATTGTATTTTGTGTTTTGAAATATATTTTATAATACACAGGTAAAATAAGGCTCAATTTACGAAACAAATTTCGTAAATTGGATATTTTCTAATAATATAATTGTTTTTACCGGAATATATTGATTGATCGTGATAAAAAGTATAAAAATAATAATTTATTTGATAGAATATTTGGTACAAAAAGATGACAGTAGTAAATAAAATCCCGTTATATTCTGCTATTTCTAGCATACAAATATTTAAAAACATATAAAATATTACAGTCAGCATGAGCACATCACAATTCTCCAGTTAATTGCCAATTATATAACTCTAAAATTAATATTAAATGTTAAAACTAAAATTTAATGAAAATCTATAACAATTACATTGGTAGCATTCTTTTTAGATGAGTTGCGTATACATAGTATATATACGTTCTTCTACATTATCCTACAAATAGTACATTTATATAAATTTTCATAGTGATTCGTTGATTTATTAAGGCACAGGTAAAAAACTCACTTTCACACAACGTAACATATTATTTCAATTTAAATAATACAAAATAATCAATTGGTATAAAAATTAATTAGGTAGATAAACATTTTTTTTTAAACTAAAAATTCTGTTATAAAGTTAAAACGAATGTTAATTTATAGTCAATAGAGTACAAGAAAATAATTTCTGTAAATTATTTATTTAAATTTTGGTTAATATATTAGTACCAAGTAAAATTGAAACACAATTTGTATTTTGATAGTTAATTTTATGATGATACCAAAATTTCTTTTTATACCACCAACCAAACATATGCACCACCAGATGGCAAGCGGTTATATAAACTAGTATAACTATTTTCAAATATAATATTAATACTTAATTACATAACATATCAGCAGAGACCAACGATACCAAACTGAAGTAAAAAATTGAAGCAATCTCTCAAAAACACTTACTCTAAACAATAGTTTACACGAACTTCCGTCGCGGTGTAAACTTTAGATTCCTAAGCTTTAATTAGTGGAGTTAAGAGTCGTGATCAGATAAAATTGCATTCCGTCTCCGTGTAAGATGCGGGTGCGGCGATCGAATGGAGGAGCACATTCTTCAAGTCTTATAATCTGAATTCTTGAAATTCGAATGTATTTTCCAATTAATACTGGGGAACTTTGCTAAATTCTCAATTCAGAATTGGAATCTTAAAGAATTAACAGTTTAATAAATTGAAATTAAAAACTCTATGAATTTAATAAATAATTTTTAACTTTATACATTTTAACATTTAGTTTATTATAAGGTTCGTGTAATAATTGCTAAATAATATTTTACAGTCGTTTACGAATTTTTTTTTATCTTACTTGAAATATGCTCGCCTTTTTATATATTATATTATTTTTTAGGCCTTTAACTGTCCACCGCTGAACATAAGCCCTTACTTTGGGGGGAGGGGGGTTTGCCAGTAGTTGCCATGCTTGACAGGCGGATTGACAACCGCAGTTAGACTTGAGAAATAATTTTTGGGACGCTGCTTTTTACCATTTAACTTCCTTTAGTCGCCTCGTACGACATCCACGGGAAAGAAAGCAGTGGCCTATTCTATACCGGGCCAACACTACATATACTCGACTTACTAAAATCAACTGAACTTGCAAAGAAAAATTCTAAGTACCGGCGTAAATTAAAATCATTATTGCCATTCAAACAGTTTAAACTTGTTATAACTTGACACTTGGTCTTGCTATATTAGTAGTGAGAATATCGAATTATTGTAATTTTCCATCCTATATTGTTTTAGTAAATATTTTCTTTATTTTTTACTTTTTTTATTGTAAATAGATAGATAGATAGATACTCTTTATTGTTTCCTCCAAAAGATTACAATAGTAAACTTATTATAAATATAAATAATTACAAGAAATAATCACAATGAGAAAACAATGGGCGACCTTATCGCTAAGAGCGATCTCTTCCAGGCAACCTTTGGATGGAGAGGAGTAATTATAAACAATTTGGTAGGAGGCACGATGAAAAATTTTGTTAGTTCTAGATATGGAAGATGTGATACATATAATAATATAAATATTATAGTTCATTTTTCTTTGTAAAACACTGCAATAAATGAATGCTAAAGATTTCGATATTACTCTATATAGTACTGATATGAATTTGTATGAAATTTTTCATTACTTACTTACTTATAACATTGTACATAGTCTGTTTAATTATTGTAAGCATATTGTTGGTGTATCTTTTATAAATAAATAAATAAATATTTTTTTTAAATACCAGCTGTGTCGTATAAGAAAATATACTCGTATAATAACTAACTCATAACGAAAGCCAATAGCAATTACTGCACCTCTGATCATAACGAGGCTTATCTTTTCGTATGTAGCAGATAACTTTGTTCGAATGTTCCAAAGAAATTTCATTAAACCGCCAGTGGAAGTTGCTCATTCAATGACTAAGTTACGTAGTGGTTACTTACGTGAAATAACTTGTAGACATTGCTTTCTGTGTTGTATTGTCCTTACGTCGAAAGCTGTTAACTTAATGGGCTTGAACTTGTTAGTAAAATATGTAGGTGTAAAAATAATTTGTCCTTTAATAACTACAACCTTGACATCTATTATTATATATTATAATAATATTTAAAAAAGATATTTATATATAAAAAAAGATACTTTTAATCATGTCGTCATTTGTTTATATTTTCTATATACCAGGAAGTATAAAAACCATGGATTCGATAATGATAAAAACATACTATTCAAATTAATAAATTTCTGAATCAACATCCTATACACAATTTGTATTGACGTACAATAAAGTTTTCAATTATGTTGTAGTATTATTTATTTTTACTAATGAAAAGCTGTAAGCTATACCATCGACCTCTTCATGTGTTGCCATTCCTGTTAGCTATGGTATTATGCTTCCATACTCCGTACTCCTTCCACCGTTACATTGTAACAAATTTGTGGCAAATTGCTTAGTTCTTTTATAGATTTTATTTTTATAAACGCAATACAATATATATATATATATATATATATATATATATACACCTATACTGCTCAGTTTGCTCCCACTTATCAGGCTATTTCTCTGCTCAATTCTCTGTTTGCTCAGCAGCCAGATATTGATATATTTTATGACAAAATATATATATTTTTAAAATGTTGTACAAAATTTGTAAGTTTGTAAAATAAACCTATGGCTCACTACACGTTTTGGGAAACTGTAAGTGTGGTGAGTAATTTTCAAATAAATAAATATAATAATATTATAATTAATAATATATATAATGCATTATGTACCTTTTTCCTGTGGGTTACAGGACGGGGTATGTATTAAAGCTGACATAAGTCGAGAAGGTGAAAACCAAAAAAAATATGTAATGCATAAGATTCGATGTCTTTAGCACAATCTACAGTAAGATTTCAACGACTGAGCCACTACGATACGTACCACTGCAATTTTCATTAGAATGAAATGTGAATCGGACTTTCAGTACGCCATCAGTAAATGAATCAAATTCTACTAGATTTTTTTTCTTTATTTTTTTCCTATCCACTCTGCAAAGAGTCTTAGAGTACTATCGGATGTACTGATTGAAATCTCTCATACAGAGAGACACTCTATAATGACAAATACTCTTTCATAAAATGTTTTTTTCCTATAGCCAATACACTTTTTGGATTTGATATTAAACTTGTCTTCACTTATGTATTTTCTAAGAGAATTATTTATCAAGTACCATGTATAAATAATTTACAGTGTCATCATATTTCTAATATATATTTCCCACTTTTTTAGTTATATTTCATAATAATAGACAAGCATTTTTGTTAATATTGTCAACTATTTTTAAATTATCGCCTCTTCAAAAGTAAAAAAAATGTTCCGATTTTATTTTTAGACGTACAGTACAAAAACATCTAGATTTGCAAGCTTAAAATTCTACTCCTAAATTCCACATGAATCCTAGGTATTATAAATGGTTTATGCAAATACACGTAGAACCGTGAGCTAAGCAAATTTTTTTCCACTTGCTAACTGTAATAATGATTCCTCCTAAACTCCTTCATTTTTTATACAACTCAATCAATTTTTTTTATACAACTTGGAATGGCAAACAAGCTGACGACCCACCTGATCGAAAGTTGTAACCATTGCCTATAGACATGAGCAGTACCATGGACATAACAGAGTATACTGTTTCGCCCATGATACCCCCTATGCGTTGCCATTCCTGATGACTCAGGTGTTATTCCTCCGTACCCTGTAAATTCACGCCATATCCCACCCTTCAAACCGAAACACAGCCATGCAAACGCTACTGCTTTACGGTTGAAACACGAATGGGACAGAGGTACCCAAGCAATCGACTTTTGTACAAAATCTCCCTCTGGTAATTTATCAAATTAATACATTACATCCTAACTTAGCACATAGAATAATTTATGTATTAATTCACGAGACGTATTGATAATTATTACCTAGATAATTAGTAAACATATCTGACTACCCCTTAAGGTTAAGATTTTGAGTTTTTTTTTAATTTGAACATTCCACCATATTTTATAAAAAAAAAAAATACACACATAATTTGAAATATGAATTGCTTAAAAATACCGACTACTTTCAGAATATAATACCTAAACATGTTAACCCATGTTTCTTTCAATACGATATTTACGTCATTGTAGAATACATATAACTGACATTTATGTTTTCTTTCATTCCAGAATCTTAAGAATCAAATTATGACAACGAACGTGTGGGTAGAACAGGTGAGTACGTTTTTATCTTTATTTCAATTCATTTAAATAATGTTTAAGCTTTTACTACATTGTTATCAATACATTGGTATTGTGTACTTGAATAAATGTAATAATAGTTCTTTTAAACTATGAAATTCAAGAGATTGCTATATGAATTGGACGTGTTTATTTTAATGGGTGAAAATGGAATAGTAACCCCACCTATGCTACTATCAGTACTATCAGTATACGCTGGCAAAGTACCAGTGAAAGATAATAGGTGAGGATAAAAGCAGGTCTGATGACCCACTATGACGAATTCGACAAAAATTAATCACAATGTCTTCCGAGGGGAACCACATAGAGGTTCACCTGTCAGGGTATATTGCTAGCAATTTGGCCGTTAGTCTTTTACTAAGCACCATTTACCATTGAATGAACCACCACGTTGTTTGCCGTATTGTAAAACTAACTTAAGAAAGAAGTTGTATAACAAATTAATAATTGCTCTGAAAATTTTCCATAATTAGAGAATTCTAAAAATCAAACTCCGCGCCCTTTTGGAAAAATGCATTTATCTGAGAAACGAATTTTAGTAATAAATCATTTGTCAATTATATATACTTACATAATTTTTATTTAATTATTATTAATTTATTTGAATGTAATATTGTTGATTTATTAAATTGTTTTATATTTGTGATTTTGTACTTATATAATTTAAAAAAAAATATCTTATTTAACACAATGTCATATAGTTATCGAATAAATTGAAATGTTGAAATTACGTGAATACATCATAAATAAATATTTAAAAAATTATTTCAGGCGTTCATATGCTACTTACCATCAAGTGGACCGTATGCTTGTTTGCCACCTCAGTGGTATAAAAAACAAAAATTATACTTAATTAAACCCCCAGATATTAATTCCATCATTCATACCTTATACATAGTCAAAAGTACAGTTTTAGATATTTCAACAATTCAGCTATAGAATACGGAACGTTACCCGAAATCAAATACAGTCTTAACAATCTCATTCCTGTTTAGGACATGTGAATATTTTCTAATTTCCATCGCGACGAGAATGAGTCGTAAAATTGTAAGGGACAAACAGGACATGTTTTATTCCCGGGGACCGTTAAACCTTTGACAAATTGTCGCTATCCGGAAGGGACGGTGACGTGTCGACTCCAAAGGGCCTCAGTTCTATTCTTTCAGAATGTACTCTTTGGGTTGTCAACGGCCGAACGTGACTAATAGGACGCCGGCGTCCGTGTATTGTTCGCTGCCCTTGAATTTCGAGCATTTATTCCCTCGTCTTTTCTAAGATTCCTTATCTAATAAGACATTTACATTCAGTCAAATACAAGCGGCAATAAAGCAATGATGACGTCAAGATATTTTGCCTCACTTTTCGTGTTCTACCACTTGTACAACTATGCTCAGAGAAATTGTTCAATATAATACCCGCGACCACATTCTACCATGCTACAGCTCGCCATCGACAGAGAATTTACCTCCATATCTAGAATCTAAATGATCGAGTATAGCGCAGTTTCAGTTTTGTTCCCATGAACACTCAGGTTATGGAATGAACTCCCTGACAAGGTTTTTCCAGAAGACTACAGCATGGAGTTCTTCAAAAAAGGGATAAAGAGGTTTCTTTAGGGACGGCAACCCGCGTGTAATATCCCTGGTATTGCAGGCGTTCATATGCTAAGGAAACCGATTACCATCAGGTGAACCGTATGCTTGTTTGCCGTCTCAATGATATAAAAAAGAAAAAAAAAGACAAAAATCATCTATATAAATGCTTCAATTTCCACTGACAAATAACTGTGTTTCCATGGCTACATTTCCAATTTGGTGAATGGGATATACAAGCAAGTTATAAAGAGGGGTATTATGGGCGACATATTCTATTTTGCTCATGGTACTATTCATGTCTAAATGCGACAGACCTACTTCCCATCAAGCCGGCCATAAACATGTTAGGCATTCTAAGTTGTATAAAAAAAGAATACAATTACGTGTATGTAATGCTATGGTACTGTTCATGTCCATAAAAGGAGAGGATTACCATGCTACTAGTACCATTATTTTTTATTAAATCTCATTAAACCATATTTTTTTTGTATTTTTCTCAAATTAATAACATAAATCCGTTGAATTAAGGAAAAACTCTTTAATGTATATATCGAGGCATTACAGAATAAATACGGCAAAATCCTTCCAATTATGAAACCCTAGAAATGGTTAAACATAAGTCAATTAAGCCATGTCGGAATATTTTCCTTTTCACTCGAGAAACCTCGATAACGATGTGAATAACATCGTCAAACGTACATAAATATAGCGATCCGACTTAGCGACATATTAAATACGATCCCACCAACTGGTTATCTCTTTTCACCATCCGTAAACATCGTATTTTAGCGTCCCTCTCTTCCTATCAAAAGATCAACTTTCCTTCCAATAGTTATACAAACAATAAAAAAGGTTATGATCGCTGGAGTCAAGTTTACGGTTTATTTATTTTATTCTGGATTGTTCGCAAATCTCGATAATGTGTTATCTTAGATATGTAAGTTGAAATTAATTTTGACAGTTTATTTTATTAAATAATGCGATAGATATACCATATATGAAATTTCGTCCGCATAACAGGGATATGTTCATTAATAGATATAAGCCTATGTTCTTCTCCATTCTTACCATCCAATTGTTGAAATCTTAAAAATATTAAAGAATAAATTTATAGTAATAAATAAATCATCGTCATCATCTTATCCGCATTTTAAAGATCCACTGTTGACCACAAGCCTCCCTTTTGGGAGATTTTGCGAATAGTTGCCACGTTTAGCAGACGGATTAGCAACCACAGTTAGCCTTTAGAGATTTTGAGAGGGATGTTGCTGCCCATCCCTCGCCCTTTCTTAGTCACCTCTTACAACACCCATGGGAAAGGAAAGGGTTGCCTATTGTATGCCGGAAGCAGACGGCCATAATAACGAGTGTTTAATTTGCAGAAATTTACTACATTGATAAATGAGTATTCACTCACACATAGACAGTCATTGTTTCGTGACAACGTCACGATTACTCGTGAAAATTATTTAAAAACGGGACCGCAGTTTTAATTTCACATAATCGACTTTCAATGTTCTCATCGTATAGAAATATCGTATAGAAGGTGTCACGCCACATTCGTGGGTCGTTGAAAAACGCGTTAACCGAGCTCGGGAATGATTTATGACGCCCTGCAAAGGACAGTTCGCAAAAACCCTCCGCCATACTGGAACCTCCACGATACACCCTGGGAAGTTTGCGTAGTCCTGTACTAATGCGGTAAAAATATACGATGAAATAAAGAGGTCGAGTAGTGTAGGTCAATGTTTGTCTTTTACAACTGAGAAAAGTGATATCGGAGTGAAAGGGCAAGTCTATATATATTTTTTATGAAGCAAAAAGCAAACTAGCTGACAGTCTATCTGATGGAAAGTGTTAACTGTTACCTATAGACATGAATAGCATGATACACTCAGAATACACTGTAATACCCCTGGTACTTTCCTTGTAATTTCGCTGTCATATGACAATACCAACCGCAGTTTGGCTTTTGATGATGTTCAAAGAAAGACGCTGCTGCCCATCCTCCTCCATCAAAAGCCTGCCCATCCTCCTCCATCAAAAGCCGCCTTAGTCGCATCCCAACCCACCAGCCAAGCATGGCAACTACTGGCAAATCCATCCTTATTGGGAAGACGATGTCCAGCAGTGGACAGTTAAAAGCTGATATGATGATTAATGTCACTAATCTCATTTTCAGTAATCATTTTGAACTCACACGCCAAGGTTTCTGTTCATAAAATAAACTGTAGATAAATTTCTATTTTCTTTGAATAAACACTTATAAAAGAATTTTTGGTATCGATATCTCGTCCAGGACAAATCGTAATTACTCTTTGTGTACCTCCAATAAATATTTTGTGACGAAACCCTAAAAACTATAAAAATACAACTGAATTTGCTTTCAACATGATAATCCCTTAATTAGATGAACCATTTTGATCTCTCCAAGTTCAAAACGTTTTCTTCGCCTACCATAAATCACTATTGGATTACTACTTCTATTTTGAAGGAAACCAAAACTTTTAAATGGAATCTAACTTCATCTAGTGAAAGTTTCAAACTCACTTAAAACTGAAATTGACCTTTTATACGGCGTCGAATTAAACTTCCTTTAATTTTGATTCTGTTAAAATTCCAAGTGAATATAACCTAACTTATTTATATATCTTTACTGGCTGAACCGCCAAACGTTGCTGTGCTCCCTAGCGCCACCTACGGAATAAGCTTTTATAGGGACAAAAAGTATACTATGTATTTTTTAATTATATAAATATATCGAAAAAGTTTGAGTGATTTCGAAGATAAGCATGAACAAACTAAAAGAAAATATTAAGACAACAATATGTGGACGTTGTCAAATATATAATATTGTATGTAGATAGTAATAAACATCGAACGGATTTGAAATTTAGCATTTTTTTTCTAAGGTGCTTGTCAATTTGCATGTATTTTTTTTTATTCAATATCTTTGCCAATTTTAAACCAATTTAGATCTAATTTTTTTGCAATCGATAGCTGTTATACTACCTACCTACTCATATATGGATTCTATAATTTTTGTCTCGTTTGAAGTCGTTGTTGCTTATTCTAAATCCAAATATTTGAAATAAATATCTCATTATCATAAAAAATAAATAGAAAAACTATTGAGTAGTCGATATTATTAATTTTATTATAATTGTATTCTGATTTTTTTTTAAACAAAATCTACCTATATAGGTTTGTTTCTACTAAATTTAAATTCATTCTCGATGTAAAATACAATTAATTTTAAAGACAGAAAATACGTACCTACCTCAGTTTGAATTCTTGCCGAATTTCTGCTTAGCTTTCCAACATATTTGGCCAAACAATCCCTGTATTACCTACTGACAGTTTGTTTTTCGCTTTGTT